AGGGCCAGCCAGGAAGAAAGAAATAGGTTTATAATGCAAGGAAAACAATAGTTCTAAGTATCCAAACAGCACAAGCAAATGAATCATAAAAGAGATGGAAAAAACAGCTATTACAATATAAGACTACTAGAAGCAGTAGTATAGACATATGCTAATAATGATTTGTTTCTCAGTAGGAACTACTGCAGGAAGGTGTACACAAAGAAATTAGAAAAGGAATTACCTTACATATAGAGAATCTAACTGTTATAGCTGGCACATCCAGAAGTAATGTGTTGTTAGAGTGACCAGCAGCAGAGATCAGAAAAGGGAAAACAAGTGAAAGGATAAGTAAAGAATAAGACAAGATACACTGCAACATCCAACAAAACATAATCAGCGTTACCTCTGGCAGTCCAAACACTTATAAAAAGGAAATAGTAACCACCATACTTATTCTAATATTTAAAAGGAAACTTACTTCCTAATACTGTTGCAGTGATGTTGTATGTGGGAAACAATTAATAATTTAGAAGTAGAATCCTAATCTTGAAGAAAAACCCTCTACTAACGGGTACCATGTTTACGTTACAAGCCACCTCAAAATTTAGGTTCAATTAAACTAGCTCTAATTCAACATATCATTTTTTATTGTCATAATGCATTCGTAATTCTTACAGGAATCATATTACATCTATTAAAACATCAAGTTTAATCATTCACAATTTAGTTGCCTGCATTTCTTTCAGCATATTCTAATTCAATGTAATTTAAATTCATGAGGATAACTGGCATAATTCTTTACATCTCCTCACACAGAATGCCTTAGCAGTCAGGTGCCTTTAAAACATAATACTCTAGTTGAGTTGTTGGCAACTTTTTGGAGCTGTGGGCTGGAGTGCCGTGCACTGGGTTTGAGGCAGGTGTGGGTTCTGACCATTTCTCCCCACCTTCCTGCTGTGATATAGGTGCTGCTCCCAGTTGCCTGGCCCTAGTGCAGCTCCTCGTCACGAAGGGTGTGAGCAAAGCCCCCTGGCTTCTGACATGCCACCAAAGCCTCCCCAATTCCAATAATCTATGTTACCAACCCTTGACTTAGCTGAAAAGTAGAACAACAAACAATAACAATTTCTTCTTCATGAAACAAATGTTGCTGTCACCAACCTGAAATCTCCTTTATTGTTGACAACCCTCTCTGGAGGGCAATACTGTGCAGAACTCTCCAATACCACAATGTCTACAGCTCTTGTATTATTCCCCCGTCTAGTCTGCACGTGACAACCCCAGTTTCCAGTGGATCCAGCTTGAATATTTGAGATTGTCAAAGAGCTATGAAAAAAAAAGTAGCATTAGTCTTCAGCAAAATATATGAAAAGCATTTACACCGTATTTGAAAAGGATATACTGTATGTCCTTTGAAAAGGACACTAGATATAAGGCACTACCTAAATTGCGGTGACATGAAGGGATTTTCGTGGGCTACTCGCGGCGCACAGAACCAATTCCATGATCTTTTCACGGTGAACATCCCCCTAGCTGCTGACTGACCATGAGGCCAATCACTCATCTTCAGACTGCAGCATTGCTGCAGCATTGCATCTGGCTTCTTAAAATATGGTGCCAAAACCCTTTCGCTTTCCTGACTGGTGCCTTCCCTGAGTCTGTATCACTACCTCAGCCTCTAAGTAGGTCTCTCTCAAACCACACACTCTATGTCTGTAGGGATGCCACATTTTCTTTGTATTCTCGTAAGTTTTGTCCCCCCTCAGCAATTCTCCACAAAATTGCAGGAAACCACCATTTTTCACGGTTTCAGCAAAAATCACAAAACCACGATTTAAGTAGGTCCCTAACTATATAGGAAGGCATACTAATTACATAAGGCTGTAAACAGTATTACAAAACCCAGAGCTACATATCAACCCATGAAAACAAAGATTCTTTTCAGAAACTGAGATTCTTCAAAGTGTACTTACTACCCAGTTACATTGGTGTGACTGTCATGTTCTGCACTTTAACCAGAGACCTTTTTTCCATAAGCAGTCTCAATACAGTACAAGCTAACCCAAATTCTTCTCATACTAAGGGGGATATCTGCTCCTCAGTTTCCTTTCTGCTGCAGCTTCCTATATTATTTTTGATTCTGAGGAAGAGGTAAAGGAAGGTAGGATGCAAATATGTAAGTGATCAAACTGAAGGACTTCAGAGGTGTTTCTCCTCTGAGTAACTATCATATAAACATTCCTACCAGACGAGGTGTCCAGATTTCAGCAATGGTCCAATGCTTTGTAAAGGTATGAACTGCCCTGCAGACATTAGGGAAATATGCAGGAATAATATAGAATTAGCCAGAGCTCTGGTGGAATGTGCCCTGGATTCATCTTAGGGGCTTCATAGTACAGTTTTACTCGGCCTGAAATCCATTTAGATCATTTCTGGATGGATATTAGATGTCAACCATCAATTCAAAGAACTGAGGAGACTTTCCAAATTGACTTTTACTTTCACAGGCCAGTGACCTCCTTACATGCCATGAATGCACAGACACCTCTGCACCAAAGGAATGAAGCTTTGGGAAAGTTAATTTTCTACTCCAAATGAAAATCTGTGATAATTTTGGGCAAGAGCTTTGATAAATTCTTAAAGTTTCTTTATCTCAGTAGAAGGCACATTTGTGTCTGAGATCTTCCGTGAGTGTTTGGGTGTCAGCACTTGCCTTGCTGATGTAATTGTTACCGTCAAATCTATTTTCACGGAGAAGTGCGAAAAAGTTCATTGCTATAGGTTTCAAATAAACCTGTCACTAGGAATGTGAAGACCAGATTCAATCCTAGTGCAGAACTCCGTTCTTTACTCAAAGAAAGACCCTGCATCGCCTCTGGATTCCTTAAGGGCCCACCAGCTGAAAGAACCTGCTCATTTCTTGATGGGCAGGTAGAAGGCTATGATTGCTGCCAGAAGGACTTAGCTGAGTTGATGGAAAGGTTGATTATTCTTTAAATCCAGCAGGTAGTCTAGTATTTCTGATATGGCAGATCTGGCCACGTTGATATTTGTTGCCTGGGACAAGGACAAGCTGGTCCATTCTGCCTAGTTCAGTTAGTTCTTCCTACTGTGGCCAAGAATCTCTCTGATCTGAATGGAACATTCTTACTCTACAGGTGAGTGTCATACAAGCTATAAAATGGAGAAAATAAAAGTCTGGATGGAGAACCTAATTTAGCACGACTACAATCAGCAGTGGCAGCACTCTGGGATCTCTTACCAACAGTGATAGGAAGATTAAAAAATAAAAACAAAATGACGACAGGCTGAGAGCCATGGGGCTCTTTAGCCTGGAAAAGCGCAGGCTCAGGGGTGATCTGATGGCCACCTATAAGTTTATCAGGGGTGACCATAGTATCTGGGGGAACGTTTGTTCACCAGAGCACCCCAAGGGATGACGAGGTTGAACGGTTAACAACTACTGCAAGACCGATTCAGGCTGGACATAAGGAAGAATTTCTTTACTGTCCGAGCCCCCAAGATCTGGAACAGCCTGCCATTGGAGGTGGTTCAAGCACCTACATTGAACACCTTCAAGAGTAAACTGGATGCTTCTCTTGCTGGGATCCTATGACCGCAGCTGACTTCTTGCCCTTTGGGCAGCGGGCTGGACTCAAAGATCTTCCGAGGTCCCTTCCAGCCTTAACGTCTATGAAATCTATGAAATTTAAGAAATCTTGGCCATGTATGGCTATGTGTATTTCAAGGACCTAGTCCTATGGAGCACTCACAAAATTAGAGTAGAGGGAATGCATACAGAAGATTTTGTCACTGAATCATGAATGCGTCTGGGGAACCTGGCCTGAGCCCTCTTCTGGAGCAAAAAGACATTTCCTTTTGACCTAATTTGCCAAGAGGTCTACAGTCAGATCACCTAGTTTCACAAATATGACAGAGTAGAGCAGTGGTTCTTGACCTTTTTAGACTTCAGGCACCCTTGGAAAAATGCCACCTCTTAGTTTTCAGTTGCTTTATGACTACAGAAAAAACAACAGAGCAATTATATTTTTGTAAAGAACTCAAGAAGAACACAACAGGTCAGAATGTTTTCAACGCTATGGGTTTTTATTCGAAATCTCTGGGTTTATTGGGTTAATTACATTTGCACATCTAACAGTGCTAATACTGTGTGGCAGCCACAAACAGATCATAAAGCACCCCAGGGTGCAGCAGCACCATGGTTGAGAATTGCTGGAATACAGAGAAGTTAATCTTCCACTTGTGCTGGTTAGACAGTGTGCAGCTCTGTTCTGGAGACTAGGTAAGGATTCTGCTGACAGATGTACCCAGTGGTCTATCCATCATAAGCTGATAGCCTCTGTGCATGGCAACTCCCTGTCTGGCCAAGAATGTGATGATAAAAAAACATTACAAGGGAGTTTTCCATGACACTCCTTAGAGTGAAGGAAGGCCACAAAAGTTTTCTGTCCTGCTCTGAGGTCTAACGCACCAATACAGATCTCTTTTAATCTCTTTTTATGAAGAGAGAACCTGTATTTGCAGTACTCCCAAGTACTCTCCACCGCTGTTCATTGAAGCACCTGTTACTAATGTGATGCTGTAAAGAGAAAGTATCCTCTCTGACAGACGCTGATGATCCTTCCACCATGACAGTGTGGAGAGTACTAATTTCAGTATTTTAATCAATTGATACAACTGCTCTTCTCCTAGGAAATAATTCATATTCAGCAAGGCTTGTACAATGCTGTGGTAAAATCCAACCTGCTGCATTACAAAGATGCAAGAAGCCATGTGCCCTAGGAAAAGCAGACAGGTTTTTATACCTGTCAACAGAAACCTCTTGATCAGGATGAGCTTTGTTAATATTTGAGAACAGTCCCATGGGGAATACACCCTGAGTTCAGGCAAACCTCTATGACAGTGATTCTCAACCAGGCTGCCACAGGAAGTGCCAGGAGACATGTAAATAAGGGCAGGCTCAGGCTCTCCCTGCTTTGCTATTCCTTCATCCCTGCTGTCTGGTCTCTCTGTAAGGAAGTAAAAAATATAATAAATCAGTTTCTGAAATAGGGTGCTGGTCAATTTGCAAAACTTATGGAGGGATGCCTCAAGTCCAAGAAGGTTGAGAAAAACTGCTTTATGAACTAAACAGTCAATGCTGGAACTAAAACTGATTTCCTGAGACTCACTAAAATAAGCTTATTGTCCTTTGTATGTTATTTACAACGTGACTTGCTCAGGTACTTCAGAGTCATGGATAAGACTACTATGCCCTATTTCTGAAGACTGGTCACCAAAACCAATAAGACTATGGTGAGGTCACACAGCAGGATCTTGCATTAGTAGCTGTCTTGACATTTCCATGGTTGATCCTAGGGCTGGTTTTGTTCAATATCCTCATCAAAGACAGGGAGGATGGGATGGAGTGCACCCTCAGCAAGGTTGCAGATGACACCAACCTGGGAGGAGTAGTAGATATGCTGAAGGATAGGGCTAGGTTTTAGAGAGACCTTGGCAAATTGGAGACTGGACCAAAAGAAATCTCATGAGGTTCAATAAAAACAAGTGCAAAGTTCTGCACTTAGGATGGAATAATCCCATGCACCAGTACAGGCTCTGCAGAAAAAAACCTGGAGATGGACAATAAGCTGAATATGAGCCAACAGTGTGCCCTTGCTGCAAAGAACGCCAACGGCACACTGGGCTGCATTAGTAGGAGAGTTCCCAGCAGATTGAGGGAAGTGATTATTCCCCCCCCATTTGGCACCGGTGAGGCCACATCTGGAGTACTGTGTCCAGTTTTGGGCCATCCACTACAGAAAGGATGTAGACAAACTGGAGAGTCCAGCAGAGGATAACAAAAATGGTCAGGGGGATGGGACACGTGATTTCTGAGGAGTGGCTGAGGAAACTGGGCTTATTTAGTCTGAAAAAGAGAAGACTGAGGGGGGGATTTAATAGCAGCCTTCAGGTACCTGAAGAGTGGAGCTAGACTGCTCTTGTTGGTGGCAGATGGAAGAACAAGGAGCAATGGTGTCAAGTTGCAGAAAGGGAAATGTAGTTAGATACTAGGAAAAACTCTTACTACCCTTGCAGTGAAACACTGGAACAGGTTACCAAGAGAGGTTATGGAATCTCCATCCTTGGAGGTTTTTAAGACCAAGCTAGACAAAGCCTTGGCTGGGATGATATAGTTGGGAATAGTCCTGCTTTAAGTAGGGGGTTGGACTAGATGACCTCCCAAGGTGCTTTCAACTCTAATTTTCTATGGTTCTGTGACTATGGGAGTGTCTTAGTGTAAATGTGGAGGTATATATATATCCTGCATGTTGAAAGGTACAATGCAGTTTCCCAGACTGCAATCAGAGCAACCATTTTGAACCTGAGTTTACAAATGTATGTATTCAGCTTTATGCTTAAGGTACAAATGTATGTATACAACTTTATGCTTAAGGTTAAGTTGCCAACTGCCTTTTCTTTTTGGCATAACAAAGTAACTGCTGTAAAACCCCTTTCATCTAGAATACAGAATTTTTTTCTATAGCACCGATTGCTAAGAGGCACTGTACCTCCACCTGAAGCAGACTCCTGCGAGATGGGTCCCTGAAAAGTGAGGACTGGCTGGGTTCATTATACTTGACTAAGACCTAGCCACATTGGACTCACTTGATATAATATACATGCTAAGGAATGCATTGTTCCAAAACTTCCTCTGGGAACTTTTTGGCATTTATGATACCCTTTTCATGAGTTCTTGGAAACCGTCAATGTCCTCTAAAGCCTAGGGTACAAACTGCACCAAAGCTGCATGAGAGGAAGATAGGTCCTGATTATCAACAGAGATCATTCATGACCATTTGGGGAGAAATAAAAATGTCTCTGAGTAGAGGTCCATGATGTCAACAGAACCTCCGAGTCATTGGAAACCCCATAGCCAAAACCATTTGAAAGATGCTGTAAGCCAGTCTGTATGGAATTTCTTGGATGAGCGTCTACAGTAAATAGGTACTGGACAAGTTGGACACCTGGTGCTTGAAGAGGACCCTGATTTGTATTCACATAAGGAAGGCTTGGTCAGTACTGAGGATAACAGCTGTGTCAGAGGTAGCAGATATCCTGTGTTGGAGGATGGAGATACTGGACCCATCAATATGGGTCCAGAGCCAGAGAGCATTTTCACTGCTGAAAGATCTATGAAAGTAAGAGACGGCAAGTGTGACCTACTTTGGTGGGACTGGAAGAATCACAATACACACCAGGCTGATGGAGCCACCTGTTTCCATTATCACAGAGAAATGTGGCAATGTCCTAGGTCCTTTAATTACCAGGCCTTGGTCATGCAGGGTAGAAGGAATTGTGACCAAAGTGGCTCCACACCAGGATGTCCCCACCACTCTAAGCTGCAAGTCCTGGGAGGCACTAGTATATCATGATCTGGGCCCCTCTGAGATGCTGAAATCCCTCAGGGGCAATAAGTGTCAAGGCTGGGGTGGTGCCAGGGCTGAAGATCCTGATGCTCTGTGAGCCTTGTCTGCTGCCCACAAGGGCCACAAGGTCTTGGGTGTCTTTACTCCCTCATTGAATAGGAAGGGTTTTCAGGGTGGACGGGATCTCCTCTTCCAATCATAATAAGGAGAAGTGGGTTCCTAAATTTGCTTCTCACATGCAATATGCCTTCTGCCTGGACTGGGTTAGGGAGAAGGTGCCGTTTCATCAGACTGAGGATACCTCTTCACACTGGCTTCTGTTGCATGGGGAGCAAATGGAAGAGCATAACCCAGCAGGGACAAAGGAGCAGGAAGTACATGCAGTCCATTACTCCCTCAACATAGAGGACAGGGAAAGGTGGGGCTATGGTATACACTATGGGGACTCCTGAAGCAAAAAAAGCTTGGTCAAGACAGCAGAGCATAAGTCACATCCACTAGAAGGAATATGTTTATGGACAATTACTTAAGGAGAAGTAATAATTAACAGGGATCCTAATTTTCTCTGTTAAAAAGTCCAAAATTCTCTGATTAAACCCCTCCCCAAAATCCACATTTTTCTGTGATTAAAATGAAACACCACTATATCTATATCTATTGACTGAACACAATGTTTTATTTATATATTTACAATTTTAAAGCAATTTGGAAGCCTACCAGTGCCTTGATCATTATAATAAATTCAAGACACCTATATATTTTGGCATCTGATTTTGTTTTTATCATGGAAAGTCAGAGCTCTCCTTGCCCCCTTCACTCACCAGGATGAGCCCAGCTGCGGCTGTCTATATGGTGCTGAGCAGCCCTGATATGCCAGTGCCCTGCCCCTGCCTATGACATTGTCCCTCACTTCCAAGCCACAGTCTCCCCAGCCCTGACAGTGCCCCTCACTCCCAGCCCACAGCCCCCCAATCCCCACTGCTGCCCTTCACTCCTGGTCTGCAGCCCCCACTGCCCCCAGCACTGCTGGTGCCCCTCACTCCTGACCTGCAGCCCCATCCCCACCAGTGCCCCTCACTCCCAACCTGCAGCCCCTTGACCACCACAGTTTTGCCAGAAGGTGCCCTAAGTTGCCAGGGCTACAGACCCCAGCAGCTGCATCTTGCCTGCTCCCGGCCCTGTGGCCATTTTCCTTATCTCCTCCCACCGCCAGCCACTACCCTGCCACTATGGCCCGGCTGCCATCAAAATCTGTCCCCTCAAGCAGCCCGCACTGCCTGCCACACCAACTCCCCTCTGGGACAGAGCTGTGGTCCGGTGCACAAGCAGCTGGCAGTAGATGAGGGCTACATGGCCCACCCGGTTCATCACTCCTCACGCTGCTAGTGGCATGGCTGGCACGGGGGTCCTAGCAGTGGCAATGAGTCTCACCACACCACTCTGCCCTCCCGCACTGGGTTCTGCCAGTGGGCTGTGTGCCTGCTGTGGGCACAGAAACCCTCCTCCACATCACCAATTACCCCTCCCCCCATACATACCTGCGGGGAGCTGATCTCCACTCCGCTGCCTGGCTGTCGCGTGCATTTGTGAACACGTACATGCACACGTCGCCCCTTGCCTGATCGCTCTCTTCTTATTCCCCCACCCCGTTCCAAGTAACCCCTTGCACGCTGGAACTCTAACAGCCTGCAAGGCAAAACCCATGGTTTCCTGTGTTTTTCTTCTTTAAAGGGAGGTGGGGGGGGAGCAATTGAGAAAAAAAATGTTACTTGACATTAAAGTGAAAAAGGAAGCGTCTCCCTTACAAATTTACCTTGCTATTAATGAGCAGTTATGAACCATGTTTTTTTCAACAAAAATACCCTGGGATTCATCAGTTTCAACTATCTTCCCATCCTGATACCACAACACCTGCATGTCTTGATCAATATATGAAGCCATACACTGGAAGGGTAGACTATCTCCCTCAAAGACAACCTGACGATGAGATGGAGTCATGTAGAAAGATGGTAATTCAAGAGGTGATTCTAGAATCCAAGAAATAGACAAAAACAACAACAAAAATCAGATTATTATTTAAAATATAGCTACATACTATGCATTATAAAATGAACTGCATTAAAATCAGTTTCTAATATTAATTCAAAATAAATAAATCTGTTTCAGAGAGAACAAACATTGATATAGTCAAATACTTGGTTCATTTCTAATAGCTTTATGATTCGCTATAAATAATGCTAAAACAGACCTTGATTTTAGTCTATTTTAAAACAACTAACAGCATTTGAGTAAAACTGTTTCAAAGAGACTCACGCATCTTAACATGACTTCCAATGAGATAAATCTTATTTTTCAGTTGTGTATATTCAGTCAACTTAATAAGTTAGAGAAGCTGTTCCTATGCTAATTCCTAAGGAGTCCTCATCTTCAATCTTATGTTGAAAACACCAATAGATAAGACAGTAGTTTACTTAATTTAACATGGATGGCGAAGAACTTAATCTTGGTAACTCATTTCTGACTCAAGACAAGCCCCACGATCTCAAAATCTGTCCACAGACAAACCCAGTCATTCAGAAGAGTTGGTCCTGAATTAAACTAGTAAGCAGTTTAAAAACAACTGAAATTTCTGCATTTTTCGATATTTGACTAAGCAGAAAGCAACTTTCCTATGAAGTCTTCAACTCCCACAAATGCATTAGCCCTGTCCAGACTAGGAAAAGATTGTACTGGAAAATGTGCTGGTTAGCATCCTTAAACATTACCTTGCACCCAGTACAGAGGGATTCCAACAACTTTAAAATGTCTCAACTGGAAATTCCTATTCAGCTTTAAAAGTGATTTCTACTTCTGTGTTCAAAAGTATGAAAGAGTCTTTTTCTGAGCCTGATGGGAAAATATTTCAAGTCTTTTACATGTCAAGTCTACTTGATTTCTTTTGCTTTTCCTTTCTGAGGATCATCCAAAGATAATAGTAGGGATGCTACTATACGCCTTAATATTCTTTCAAAAAGTCTGGAGAGCAGTTTCTTTTATGTTTTCTCCCTTGAGCACCGAGCTCTGAAACAGACAATTAGCACAAAGGAGGGCCATTACTGCTCCTAATTTCTCTTTTAGATTTTACAACTTCTTTCCATGATCCTTCACACGTCTTATTAGACTATTCCTTGGACTATGTGATCTCCGAGGAAAATTAAGAGGGGACTGAACAGGATAATCTTTTTTCTTTCAATTATTATGGTATTAGACTTGGAAGATTTTGCATAACTTGGTTCTCTTTCCTATTGTTGTTATCAGAAGTCAACTTTAATTGCTAATCCCACTCAAGAGAATTTCTCCTGATAGGACTGGCTCTCCAAAGATTAAATCATTACAAGACCACAGACTTCTATGGACCTATAACCTCAACTAATTAGTTTCTCTCTACTTTTAGGAAGAAAGCCTGAAAACCACAATCTGTTGACTAGCCTGAGAAAATGATTCACTACAATATAATTGAAATGAAAGGAAAATATTAATAAACACAAGCAAAATGCAGCATGCGTTCACTTTTAACCAGCATCCTTTGTCTAGAATTCTTACCACACGTCAGAAGCTCTGGTTTCACACCTGTTACAGGTTGGGCCTGCAATGACTTGGGATAGGCACATTTAGTTTCACGTACAGTTATATTTCTTTCTTTTAACCACTGATGTATCCATAACAGGTTACAATCACACAGAAGGTAATCAGTCTGAAATTCTCTGCAGTACACAAAAAACAGATTATTAGTTAATTGTTGTGATTTTCAAGTTAGACCATTCTAACAGCTTTGTGATTTACTACACATAATCACAACAATTAACTAATTACAAAGAGTTAAGAATGTTACACTCTGGGTTTACTGCATGTTAAGAAACAGATCGGAGTATTTAGCCGTGGATTTCAATTAATTAATTTTTGTGTTTTCATTCATCAAAAATGTGAGAATTTTAACTATGACAGACTAGCACATAAATAGTCTGGCTAACTGAAAGAACATTTACAATATCAGGTTGGGACTGAAAGTTTACATGATAATCTGTCAGCCAGAATCCAGACTACTGTTCATAGTTTTAATTTTTTTTAATTGAAGAATAAACACTGAAATATGCCACAATGATTTTTTTTTAAATCTGTTCTTCAAACGCATGGAAAACAAACGCACAGGATTACACAAATTATATGAAAATCAAAGTTTACTTACAAAGACTTCAGTGACCCAAGATGATCAAATGTTCCTTGTGTTAATGAAGAAAATAAATTTCCTGAAAGATTTCTAGGAATTAAAAAAAGGAATTTAGCTATTTTTCGTAAAAAAATTAATTTGATGTTTCTAATTATGCAATTAAAAATAAATTTTCTCCTTCAAAAACATTTTCTTGTTTTTAAAAAGTAATTTATGTAATACCAATAAATGGGCATATAAGTGCAGTCTATAAAATATTAAATATCAGACTTAATATTCTGATGGCCCAATTAAAGAACCCCAGTATCAAAAATGCACTCTTCTCCTGCATTCCCAGTGCTGCTTTTAGGCAAAAACAGCTATGAGTTTAAGAACAATTATTCAAATAAAAAATGTTGCTTGGTTAAAATGATTTAGCACCGAAAAAAAAAAAATCCTGTACTTTCCACACTAGGAGAGCATGTGGTGTGTCAGGTGGAGCAATGAAATGGTTATTTATTTGATACCTGCTACTGGGTGTGTCTACATAAAATGGTTTACTGCACAGTAGACTAATCTACTGCACAATAAGTCATCACCATTTAACCATTCACAGCAGCTACCGTGCAGTAAATTAAGTTAACGCATGGTTTTCTACTACCTGTAAATAGTGCACAATGCCGCTCAGTCAGCCCAGGCAGCAGGGGAACTGTCCCCCTCCCTCACAGCTGTTTCCCAGCCCCCAGTCCCAATCTGGGAAAGTGTCCTGATCAGGACATGGGGCTGGGAAAGAGATGCCCAGGAGGCAGGACAGCACCCCCCACACCCTCCGGAGCCCAGGTCTGACCCAAGTGCCCCCTGCCAGCCCAGGGCTGGGAGCCTAGAGCCCCCAGGGAAGCCTAGAGAACCCCCTGGCTGCTATAGGGGAACAGAGCAGAGGAGGAGTAGCCCTGCCCTGAATTGCTCCATTCAGAAGCAAATTTGCTTCAGGTATAGTGCAGACGCTCTCTCAAGGAAAGTTTACTGTGCATTAACTGCATGTGTAGATGCACCCACTGAGTAGCAAGTTGCATGGCCTTAAGAACATAACTTCTCTGACCCTGATTTGGCAACAGACTGAAGTACGGGAGTAGTCCCAATGGACATAAGAAAAAACTGAATTTAATCAGAATTATAATTTCTCTCTCAGATATGTACAATAAAATTATACTTACAATCTAATAAGGTTTACGAGCCCTCTAAATATATCTCCATTGAGACAGCCTATTCGGTTGTTAGTCAAGTCTCTATGAGGAGAAAAACCAAAAAGTGAATTGTTCTCACCACACACTCACAAGAAAGTACACATTATTTACCATTATTAGAATTTTGGGAAACTCAAAAAACAATCAATTAATTTATTTGAAGATCCTCAAACATTTAAGAGGCTAGAAGGACAAAATGTCTACCTCTGGCTCTCAGTAACACTGAGTGAGTGCTATCCAACTACATACAGTATCTCAGCACCTTTTGCATAAAATGGAAATAGCAGAAAATTCCTGTAATGACCTTTATAGGTTTTCCATCCTCTCTGTTTTGGGGGTAAAAAAGAAAGCTATTTGTGACAGGTAATGGTGTGACTGTGAATCAGGGACAGGTGGAATGATTTTTGATGTTGTGTCTATTTTATGGGGAACACTGTGGCAAAGAAGAAGTGTCACAGTATTTCCCAAAGATAACCTTTATACATACTAATATCCTCCAGAAGATTACTCCACAATTAAGAAACCCTCTGGTTCTTAAGTGCTTTATTCTGACTTTCATGACACATTTTTCCTCCTTGGTTGGAGGACACAATTTACAAGTTTCCTCCATATTCAAGTCCTTGTACTTTCCTGTCAAGTTAACTTTACAGACTTTAATTTCTCAGTTTGCCATTTTATGAAATCAATTGGTATGGCCATTATTCTTCTTTATCTTTTAATTTACTACAGGAACATGTGATCATCCAATTCAAGGCTATTTTTTTAAAGATCTACTGTTCTATAAGGGCGTCGCTATTTATTAAACCAAGGCTATGTTCAGATATTCAGTTTCTACTTGGAGAATCCCCATACTCCCACTAGGAACAAAACCTTTACAGACATTCAAACTTTTTTCCCCCCGAGCAAAAAAGGCTGCTCTGGGAGAAAAACAACCCAGGAACAGCTAGGGTGAAATCGCTGCAGGAAGATTTTGTCCTAGGAAACTGAATGTCTGTACACTTCCCCTGGCTTAACTCATTCTGACGGAATAGAGCCAGGGCAAAGGTTCCTGTGCCTTCCCACAACCAGGGTCACCTCAATTTGAAGAAGGTGGCACCAGTTTCTTCCTCCCCTCCTGCCCCCCGCTGTGGAACTGGAGGGCAAGGGAGAAGGCAGCTGCCAGCTGCTTCCCAACTGCTTCTCACACCAGAATTCCCATATTGACTTCTGGGAGGGGAAGGGAGCGGCAAAACTCCTAGCTTGGGGAAGCAGCTAGGAGCAGCAACAGCTGCTCCTCTCCTTTCCTGGGCTGGTCCCAGGAGAGAGAAGCAGTTGTAACTGCTTCCTGCATCTTCTCAAAGCTGGGCCTGACCCAGTTTAGGGAAGGGGCTAGGGCTTTTGCCCTGGTACTCTCTCCACTCTATTCTGGAGACTAACAGCAGAGTAGCAGAGGCTGCTCCTCTCACCTCCTCCCTAGATCCTGATCTGGGGCACATGCAGGAATTATTTCCCTGCTTCTCCAGTACCTACTTCACTCACCTTCCCCAGACTCAGAAAGTTGCAGAAAGGAGGGGAAGGAGGGTGGTGCAGAATGAATGTCTGTACTGCTCCCTCCCTCAGAAGGATTTCTACTGGTGAGATGGAACATTTCTGCTGGTGGAAATAAACATCTGTTCATGGCCAACTGTGAAATGGTTTGCCCTCTTGTTAATTGTAATACTTCCTGGTAGAGGAGGGCCAGCTATCATATGCAGGATTATCTGGACCCTATTGTTATATACCGGACAAAAAAATACTATGAATCTGGGAATTTGGAGTTCCCCATAACAGCAACATTCTCAACAATACTTAACTTTTCTAATATTCCAGAAATCTCTATTCACATCTGAATCGAACCTTAGAGGTCCAGAATAGCTATACTTTTATTTCTCTCTCTCCAGTCATGAAACCTATTTGATCATCTTTCTACTATCCCTATTAGCATCAGATTTTCCATCCTGCACCAATAATTCAAGCTCCTCTCCTTGTCCAGTCTCTGCATTAAGGTTCAAACAGCTCTACTATAGCTCTGTGATGTTATATAACTACTTAGCCAAACTGAGTAAAGCTACTAGCCACCACCATTTCAGTCTTGTCCAAGTTGAAATTGAACCAGTTATTCTCCACCTAAGGACTGATCTCTTGAATTCATTCACATCTTAATAGTGGGAGTGGTTGCATTAATAAAAAACAACATGTAATAACTGAATGGCACTTGAATGCTTATGGCAGCTGTACAGATCCCTGTACAACCCAAAGAATGAAGGCATCAGTTTCCTATCATCACAGTGAACTGCACTGTAGATGGGTGAGTGGGGTCATTGCAAATGTCATGCAGTTTCCCTTTATGTTATATAAACAGCTTAAAGTTCCTAAGCTCCTAAAATAAGTTAGCTCTCAGAGCCAGTTAATTATTACAAATGCTTGCATTTTAAATGCATAAGCATTTAACCGGTACCTGAAAGCTTCCTGTGTTAAATCCCCATAATTGTTCAAAGAATCATAAAAGTAGGGGTGGAAAGGACCGCCAGATGTCATCGAGTCCAACCCCCTGCATGGGGTAGAAGCATCCCTATCCAAACCAGTCTATACAAATCCAGTGCAAAACTACAGTTGACCCTGACACAAGCACAAACCATAATACCTTAACCTGCCAAAATAAGGTGAAGGAACCATGGTGGCTAACATCCCACTGCTGCAAAGGTGGTTAAAATATGCTAGAGAGATCCAGGGATGAAGGCTACATACCCCACTAGAAAGGAAGGCAAAAACTCCCAGCCTGTAACAACCTGACCGGGGGTAAAATTAATTCCTAACTCCAAATATGGCAATCAGTCTGACCCTCAACAAAGGGGTAAGGCCCTCTAGCCAGGAAGATACAGGTTTAAGTCCCAGCTGGAACACTGGCACGCACCAGTCAAAATCCCCAGCCTTCACTGCAGCCAACATCCAAAGCTTTAGAGGGAGGTGAAAAAAAAAAAAAAAGAAAAAAAATCCTTCCTGGCCCCATGTGGCAAACAGCAAAGACCAGAGCATGGAAAATATCTATACTGCATCATAGGCCCAGCTATTCCTAAAATCATCCATGACCAATGCTTATCCAACATCTTCTTGAACACCTCCAATGATGGAGATTCCACAGCTTCCCTAGTCAATATATTCTATTAATCCACTGTTCTAATAGTGAAGAAGTTTTTCCTGATATCCAACCTAAACCTACTATGCTGCAATTTTAAGCCATGTGTCCATATGCTGTTCACTGCAACAAGAAAGAGGTGCTTTCCTCTTTTTTAGGGCAGTTCTTCAGATACTGAAAACTACTATCATGTTTTGCAAGGTAACCATGGACTGCGTGAAGCTTCGGTCCCCAATTCAATTTGGCACAATTCGGTGGGCAATTCTCTGAATCCGAATCAAATCAGAGAACCCTTTAATCTCTCCAAATCAAATTAGAACCCTCTGAATCAATTCGGAGATTCGGACAGACACAGCTTTAAATGTTTTCTCTACATACCTCTAGGTAGCAGGCAGCTTGTGAATGCTGTGATGCTGAGGTGCATGAAGTGTACTACAGAAGCACAGGGTGGTCCCCAACACACTTGGCAGCAGACCCGGAAGTGAACCAGAAGCACTTCCGGTCCACTTCCAGGTCTGCCGGGGAGTGCATAGGGGGATCCCCTGAGCTGCCCCAGCTCAGTAACTGGTGCTTCCTGGGTCTGGGGGAGCACCCAGGGTCCCTCCACGGCCGATCACCAAGCCAGGGGGGATGTGGGGAGCCCCCCAGCTTGCTCCCCAGTGGACCTGCCGCCAAGAACATGGAGGGCCCCCTCCCCACACTCCTGCAGGATGCTCCATCTACCCCAGCATCACAGTGTTCACAAGCTGTGCTGGTACTTCGAGGTATGTAGAAAAAACATTTAAAGCTGTGTCTATGTCTGAATTGCTGATTCTCCGAATCAGCATCGAATCTTTATTCGGGTTCAGCCAAATTGAATCGGGGAGAGTGATCCAAATCAATTAATCGAATCACTGTCCCCAATTCAGGCCAAATCTGAATCAAATAGGGCCCACTTCGCACACCCCTAACACCTATGTCCTTCAACCTCTCCCCGTATGTCTGCCATCCTCTCCTTGTATGTCTGCCACAAGCCCTTTATCATTTTTGTTGCCCACCTTTGAACCCCCTCTAACTTCTTCAGGTCCTTTTTAAAATGTGGAACCAAAAACTGCACACAATACTCTAGGTGATGCCTAACCAGCGCTAAGTAGAGAGGCATTATCACCTTCCACATCTTGCACCTAATATTTCTATTGATGTATCCCAAAACTGCATTTGCCTCTTGTACAGCTGCATCACATGCAGACTCATAGTGAGGCTGTCATCCACCAAGACTCCAAAATCCTTCTCCATAGCACTGCCATCCAGCTAGGGGTCACCCATCTTGTATTTGCACTTTTTATTATCTCCTGAGATGTAGCACCTTGCATCTGTCAGCACTGAACTTCATCCTGTTAACTCTAGCCCAGCTTTCCAATGTGTCAAGGTCCTTCTGAAACGTGCTCCTGCCCTCCAACTTGTTTACAAGCCTTCCCAATTTAAGATCTTCTGCAAATTTGTTCAAGCAGCAATTAATTCCATCATCCAAATCCTCAATATATATGTTGAACAACAGTGGGCCCAGGACAAACACCCATGACACTCCACTTGAAACTTCCTGTTATTCTGACATGCATCCATTTAAAATTACCCATTTAATCTTGGCTTTGTCCAGCCCACTTTTCTCCAATCTGTTTATGAAAAGTTCATGCAGGATCTTGTCAAAAACTTTCTGAAGTCCAGATATACTATAGCAACAACATTCCCTTTATCTGCCCAAGTAGTTAGTCAATGGAGGAGAATATATTTATTCATCATTATAGTAAACCCATGATGGCTGGTTGTGATTAGCCTTTCTTCCTCCAGATGCTTGTAAGTGATATCCTTATGATATCCTCCAGTAACATCCCAGGTATTGAAATGAGGCTAACTAGCCTGTAGTTCCCTGGGTCCTCCTTTTTTTAAAGGAGCAATAGGTTGACCTTTTTCTAGTCCTTTGGTACCTCATATATCTCCCACAGTTTCATAAATATCATTGCCAAATGCTCAGAGATGATAAAAGAAACGATCAGGGAGCTTTCAATGGGTGTGAATGAATTCAAATTTGCAGGGCCTGATTAACTTCGTACCAGGGTACTGAAGGAGCTGGTAGAAGTTAATCTCATCCCTCAGCTCATCCCCTTCCATATCCAAATAAACTTTATAAGGTGTCTGGCTGTAACTTGAGCTTTTTTGTGAAGACTATGGTGAAGTAGCTGTTGAGTAGCTCTGCTTTTTTGGATCTTATGTTAAGAATTTGCCCTGGTTTGGTTAACAGTGAACCCACAGCTTCCTGGGTGTTTATTTTCTGGCCAACATACTTATAGAACTGTCTCTTATTGTCCTTAAACTCCCCTGCAAAATTAAGCTCATTTTTTTTTTTACCTTTGCCTTCCTGAGTTTGTCCCTGCAAGTTCTTGCTATTTTCTGGTATGTTTCCTTAGTGACTTGCCTATCTTTCCGTTGCCTGTATGCTTTCCTTTTGGACTAGAAGCATCCTGTGCAACCACTTTGGTCTCTTTAGCATTCTTCTTGTGTGTCCATGATATCAGAACAGTTAGCTGTTGGGCTTCCAATACTGTGCCCTTTAGAAACTTCTAGTCCTCCAGGTACCTTTATTCTTTAGTCTGTCTTCCCATAGCACCACACCTATTCATTGAGTTGGTTAAAATCTGCCTATTTGAAATCTAGCATCTTAATTCTCTTTATCTTACCCTTTCCCCATCTCAGAAGCATAAATTTTATCATATTGTGATAATTTCTTCTCAAATTGCCTTCACACCCTTCCATCAATTTATCCCTGTTGGTCAGGACAAGATCCAAAATAAATGATCCCCTAGTTGCATCCTTATCCTCTTGGAACAGAATGCTGTCCTCCATGTAAGTTAGACACTGTCATTTTATGTTTCGCTGTGCTGTTCTTCCAGCAGATATCCAGAAAACTGAAGTGCCCCATCAGTAACATCTCATAACCTTTACATAATTTTGTCACCTCCTTAAAGAGTACCTCATCCACCTCTTTTTCCCCGAGTCGGTGGCTTAGTGTAATTCCCTAGTATTATAGCAGTGCTGTATAACCTTTTATATTCATAAGAACTTTCATATATATTCCTGACATTGAAAAAGTGCCTTCCAACTCAGGAAAGCATTCAAACCATAAACTGAGGCCTTATGGACAAATTTATATACTGCCTCTAACATTAAATAATTAAAAATTACCTAGGTATTTCTATAGCACTGGTAGTCCACAGTAGCTAGGTATCTCCCAAAGACCAAGAATAACATCACACAAAGATGTATAACTTTAAAAAATGTTTTGGATATTTTAAAAATCCAGAGCAAGAAAAAAAAAATGGATGGTCCTTATGCTGAACTTTTCATTTCCAAGTTAAAGCTTGAAGCAGATTTTTTTCAATCAAGATGTAAATCCCAGAAAATGTGATAATGAAAATGTTGGTACATCTTTCAGTGAAATGACATTAACAAGCACTGTAACTTTTAGTATAATATTAGTAACTATGGAATTAGTGTTCTTCTGTAACAGGGGTGGGCAATTATTTTAGCTGGAGGGCCACTTAATGAGTTTTGGTGAGCTGTCAAGGGCTACACAAAAAATCTTTCAGAAAATATCATTTTAACAAATTACAGATAAAAACCATTCATATACTAAAAGTCAAACATGTACTATAACATATTTTAATTTTTTTTCAAAAAATATTTTTTGTCCCGGTTTTTTTTGAGCAGGATATTGCATTATAGTTCAAAATGAAGTCTGACTCTTGTACATTGTGTTTGTAGGAGTGGTGGCAGGATGTGTGGCTGGTGTGGGGGGGGTGCAGCAGAACTCATCTGGGCAGTGTTGTGCAGGTGTGGCCTGCTCCCCCACATCTGGCCCGTGGCTGCCTCCACAGCACTTCTACCCACTAGAAAGAACTACCCTAGCCAATATGTAGAGTTTCTCAGTGGGGCTGCTGCCACAGCTGCCTGGCAGCAGCTCCTCCTCCTGACCCTGCTGTGTTGTTCCAGGCAGCAGGTAACATGGGGAAGCTGTAGGGACAGCTGTGGAGGGATAAGGAAGGGAGAGGCGTTCCAGGTGGGTGGCTCATGTCCCAGCGTGTGGGACTCCAGCTCCGGGCCACCTCCCACCCACTCTGCCTGCCCAGTGTGGTGATGAGCAGCCACCTGCAGGCAGCCAAGTGGGTGAAGGGCGGCTAGAGCTGGAGCAGGCAGTGACAGTGTGGGCTGCCGTGAGCAGAAGTGGGCAGGGCTCAGCCCCATGCAGAACACTATGGGGGCAGCTATGGACTGGATGCAATAACTTGGTGAATGCCTGCCCATGGGCTGGATTCAATTTGTTGGGAGGTCAGATCCAGCCCACAGGCCATATTTTGCCGACCCCTGTTCTATAACCTTCTGAAGAGAGTCACCATGAAATGTTTAACGTATTTAACAAGGATAATGATTTGATGACATCAAAGCTCTTGGAATGAATATGAAGCCACCAATGTCTCAAGCTACTATAACACAGACAGTGACGGCTACACTATTGACAGAACAGATGCACAAACCTGGGTCTAACAAGCAGCTCCAAAAAAGCAACATGAAGTCACCAATGTTTATGGCCCCTGAATGATTCTTCTTGCAAAACACATGGTGCTTTTGTCTTTAACCTACCAGACCCTCCAACTAACTCTGGAACCTGAAAAAAAATTGTATCTAAAACATGATACTCACAGTTTTTTAAGAGATGAAAGCTCCAGAAAAGCTCCTGGATCTATAGTACTAATAAGATTGTTCTTAAGGTCCCTGTTAAAAAAAAAAAAAGGGCAAAAAATTAGAATTTAAAATGTATAGCCGTGGGAATGAAATTTAATATGCATAATTGGATATTTTATATTACAAGTAAGCTACCCTAGGATCTAAACTGCCAGAAGACAGAGAATATACCTCTAATTCTTCTGAAACAGAAAATAACTCTGCTTCTTCTGGTACTGGATAAGATTTCCAGAAGTCTGAAAATGTATTAATGGTTTTTGCATTTTTCTATTAAAAAGGCATATACACAGCTTCTGTCTGTCTTTAAATAGGCCATCAATTGTTTTCAAGGGAAAAGGAACACACTATAAGCCAAGGATGGGCAAAATACAGCCCACGGGCCAGATCCAGCCTGCCAGGTAACTGGATCTGGCCCACGGCTACCCTGCGGCACTCCACATAGGACCAAGCCCCACTCACTTGTGCCGGGACAGCCTGTGCTGGGCTCCCATCGGCACTCACAGCCCAGTCCCGGCCAGTGCGTGCAGCTTCCAGTGGGCTGTTTCCAGTGCAGCTGCAGCCAGGTGCTGCTCTGCGCCTTCTGCCTCCAGTGGAGGATCCTGAATTTGCTCCTGCCATACCGTGCTGCTCTGGGAAAGCAGCTACAGTTGAGCGGCTCCTGGCCTAGTGCGGAGGGCTCGAACTTCAGCACAGGGGCCTTTAACCAGAAGGCATACAGGAACTGAAGCCAGAGCCCCGCATGCCTGCCAGGAGAAGTGTGGTGCAGCACAGCTGCGGTGCAGCACGGCAGAAGCAAGGGGCAGGACCCACCACTGGAGGCAGGGGGGC